CATTTGATCTTTATATTCTCGAAATAAAGAGAAGATAAAAAATAACATGGAAGTCAATACACTTGTATTTGTATTATTGAAAAATCAATTTCTTATATTTTATAGTGAAGAAAATTAGGACCGCAATGATATAATGATTATTCACTAATTAGTATATAGCCGTTGTTTGGTAAAAATTAAAATATAGATTTTAATTTAAGTCAAAATAAACAATTAATTTTAGCCACATATTTTAAAAATCTCACAACTTTTCAATCATACATTTCATCAACTTCTATCAAAATTTAATAAAAATATGATTTTAATCCCCCATCAAACAAGGGCATAATTTATAACAATTTCAAGTTCTCATTTAAAAGTTTTGCGAGATAAGATGTGTGACTTAATTTATACAATAACATACTATTTTTATTCCCAATAAATTTAAAATCGATCACACGTCATTCAGCTAATGCACCAACAATAAAAATAAAATTAACATGTATTTGTGAAGATCGGTTTAGTTTCACTTTCAAAATTCGAAACATTAATGTTCAAACTATGTTCTCAAAATACTCAAGTTAGCAATAAAGTAGCTCGAAGTATATTAACCACAATATGACAGTTGCAGAAGCTCTAAATGTGTCAAGAAATACATAATGTTCTAAAAATATGTTCGGTCACCCATAAGCAATGTTGATGGTTTGGACTCCAGTCCTTAGGTGTGGTATTGATTGTTAGAACTCTGAATTGACGCTTGAGGATTTTTTTAAAGTTTGAATTTTAATTTCTTGGAGTGATTTTGGGATATCCAATTGCTAAATTCTAGTATAAAATACCCAAATGTAGCTTGCATTAAATATCCTTTAAATATTACTTATCGAGTAAAATTTCAATTTTTGTGTGTAATGTAGGCAACTTTTCCTCCCCAAAAGTATTTTCCCGAATCCAATCCAATATTTCTACTTCTCCTGATTATTTTACTTTGGACTCAATTTGTCGTTCACCTGAAAATAACTTAGAACACAGATATATTATGCCCGTGTCCTTCAATTTGTTCCGACAAACTCAGATCGATTCAATTGTTCCATCATTGCAAGGTTCTCTTGCAAAATCGGTGGTATTGAATAAGTTCGCTTTGTTCGGACCAAACTAACTCCATTTCCAAAGACACGTTATACAATGCATGAAAGGTTATGAAACAGATCTCTTCTGCTACAGTTTTCTTTAGTGGAT